TTTTTTTTTTTTTGCTTTTCTTGCTACCATCTTTAACGCAACTTTCCAAAATGTCTTGGTAGGATTAAGGAATGGAGATTTGGAGGAAACTCAGGCGCGGGGTGGGGGCGCATACAACAACAGTTCAATGAAGGTGTTGTTTCATTGTTGAAAACAAATCAAGGACCGTATGACCCCAAATTTAGATTTTAAAATGATGCAACTGGTCTATAAATCGCTGAACGGTGTAAGTCAGGGTGTCCAACTTTAATCCTATTGGAACATAAACCCAGCAGGTCTCTGAGGTCTGCAAACTTGGGCCACTTCATGGAACCCACAGTTCAAAGCAAACATGGTGAAGCGGCATCTAGCTGTTATGCTGCTCACAAATGGAATAAGATGCCAATACAAGTGAACTCAGCTCCACATAAAAATGTCTTTAAATCCCAGTTAAAAATGTTTCCCATACCTACGATTGAGGTGTTTCAAAGCATTTTAAAAATCTTGTTCTCTAAAATGTTGTACTTGCACCGTACCTCCTTTTAGTAATTTCCGCAAGCTAAGTTTTATGTCTGTAGATGGCTGCGTCTTGATCTGCGTATCAGATTTTTGAGGCAGCTTGACGACCATTCTTTACTTTTGTGTTTTGTTTTTTTTTCTTTACCTTAAGGTGGGCGTACCTTTAAACGTGCTGGTGGTTTGGGCGCTCGGACAACGGCAACGCCGTCTCATCCGCAGAGGCAGCAAGGAAGAGACTCGCGCCGCCAGCAGTTTCCGAACCTACGTCCTCAACCTGGCGCTGGCGGACTTGGTGCTGATCCTGCGGACGCCCCTCATGTTGGGATACCTGGCTCACAACAACAGTTGGCCGTTCGGTTTGGCCTTATGCCGGCTGGTCATGTTCCTGCGAGGCTTGGGTTTGTACATGTCGGCCTTCCTGGTGTGCGCCGTGGCCCTGGAGCGATGCCTTTGTCTCCTGAAGCCCGTGTGGGCTCGCTTGCGGCGCCCCGCCTGGGCCGTTCCTTTGGCCTGCGGCTTGTCCTGGCTGCTGGCCACCATCCTGTCCGCCCCTTACCTGCACAGCGCCGTCCTCAAAGAAATCAACAGCACGTACCAGTGCCTTGAGAGTGGCAAGTTTGACACGGGGCTGTTCGTCACCGAGACGGTAGCGGGTTTCATCTTGCCCCTGCTGGTGTTTTTGGGAAGCAATTTGGCCATC